CCCACCCCTCCCCTCCCACCACTCCCAAACCCCATGTATAAACACATATAATTGGGATAAAAATGAAAATATTGGAATAAAGACTTACTGATAGCGATTATTAAAAAGTTAGTGAGACATCAAAGCATCGAAATTTCGATGAGATTTGAAATTATGCCTTTATCTTGATTCTTTCTTTTTTTTTTTTTTTAACACGGCAAAGTTAATATAATGGAGGATCGCCAATTTTTCAAGAACTTAAAAAAAAAGTAGCATCATGTATGCGATCTTTATGAGACAAAGTTATTTCACGATCATTGGCATTTATTAATGCTTCGAGTAATTTTACTTGAAGTATTCGCGTTGCCTATCCAATTCCTTAATTATAATATCCTTAATTTCAAGTAATTTATTGTCAATTGAAATCTCATATCCTCAATATTTTGCTAATAATTGCTTATTTATTTATCTTTAATTTCCATTAAAGAAAATCTACCCTCTTTTTATTTTCGTGATTGCATAAATCGCGTGAAACTTCATTTCATCCCTCTAAATATAATTATTAGGATGACATTATATTATTAAATAATTATACGGTATTGTAATCATTTTATGATAATAATAATAATAATAATAATATCCTCATAAACGCAATAAACTTGAAAAACTATTTTTCATTGCGTTGCGATGTATGTCATACAAATTATTAAAATTCTATCACTAAATTTCAAATTCGTATTCTCCAATTAATTTCGCTCGCTTAATAAATACAACGTAATATAAAAAGTTCAGGTTCTATAATGCAACACTAATATCCAATTTTTTACAATCTCGTATTTTACCGCAACGTGATACATCTCCGCCATAAGTTTTCACCAGCCATTCATATAAGTACGTCAAAGAAAATTCAACTACCATGTTAGTTGAAATTTCAAACTACTCCATATGTTTTTGTCACTAGCGTCGGGTGGCTAACGGCAAACTTTGTGAATATTCATAGCATCATCAATTAATTGGCCCTTTACTTTCACCAAATAGCCCCGTGATTACACATTTCACCGCACTTGAAACGAATTTCATACGCGCAACTCAACTTCCAATTCCAACGCATCAACAGATATTATCCACTTGTCATACATAGATGGCGCACGCTATTATCTGCTATCACGACTCACTTACTGCGCTGATTGCGATGATAACAAGACGAAAAGGAAAGAAAGCAGGGATAATTTTGTTAACGGGATGTAAAATGAATATTATCCAAGCTTGGAAATTATTATTTCGATAATATTTATTAATAATATTAGCGAGCTCTTTGGCTACTTATTCACTTTACCGTGCAAATGACGGCAATGTGCGATGAGTTTGATATCGGCAAGAAATTCGTCTTGATCGATTTACAATAACAAAATGTTTTCGTTTAAATTATTTTAAACGAGTAATTTATTGAAGGAACAATGATGACACGAATATTTATATATTTGATAAAATAAGGACAACGTTGATAAATTCGCGGAGAATTTACACATTGATTTGTTATACTTTTTCTCAGCTATTTCTATTCTAATGCAAACTTAAACTAATAAAAAAAAAAAGAATTTATTTAATAGGATGAAAGATTATTTAAAAAAAGAAATTTAAGAGAAATAAACTAACAAATAAATAAAATAATAATAAATAATAACAAACTAACTAACTAATAAATACTAATTGTGAATAAATTTTGACACTCGTATCGGTTTGTATTGATTATAAATATAATTAAAGATTAATTATAAATAAAAAAGAAAAAAGCAGGGGAAATAAAAAATTCCTTCACTTTTATTGTTTTACTTTATTTTTAAAAAATGACTGAGAATCGTAAAAATTGGCAAATAGTGTAATTATATTTCATTGAAATAACTTAACCTTGATATAAATATATTGCTATCTGCATTTATTAATAACTTTGTGTATCTTGAAATGGTGCCTTAATAAATTATCGATTATTTCTACAAATTCTATTAGAAATTGTTGCAACAACTCCCGTCGTATTATACAAGCATACTTCATACTTACTTAAGCATCCTTGTATTTCCCTATAGTAATTCTCTACTTTGTTTCTTATATACAAATGCAAAAATTTTGTAAATAATTGTATAACTACGTAAATATATTTTAGTAATTTATTTATCATTTTGATATTTCTAAAAGTTTTATCATAAATTATAAAAATTTACGAATTCTAGGAGTAAATGTTTATTGCCTTTATATTTCTTGTTTTTTTTTTTATGTAATTTTTATGTAATTTCTGCCATGCTAACGAATAATTCACAAAATAATATTTTTAGTATGTAAAGAAATTAATTGTTCGGAAAGTTTCTACGATTAAAATATTTTAATAACATTGAAAATGTTAATAACTTATCTAATTAAATATATATATATATATATATATATATATATATATATATATATTTAATTAGATAAGTTATTATATCGTTTAATTTACACTTTATTACTAAATGTTTTATGAGTCGATAAGCATTATAAAATTTCTTTGTATAAAATAGATAATCCTTTTAGCTGTTATAATAATCGTCAGCGATATATACATATAATATTATACATTGATCTTGATAAATAAGATTATTATGATACTTGAAAAAATGATAAAAGAAAACATTTTAAACAAAAGTAATAAAAAATACTTAGCATCGGTATTATTATTATCATTGTTATTGTTATCGTTATTGTTATTATTGTTATAGTTATTGTTATTATTGTTATCGTTATTGTAAATTATTATTGTTGTTATTATTGTTATTGTTGTTATTATTATTAGTATTATTATTATTGACAGTCATTAATAATGACGATAAAATACCAACGAAGTCACTAAGTGGATTCAAAATATAAAAAAGTTATGTTATTTTCGTAGACGGTGTTGGCGTTCTTACCATCCATGCTACATCGAGAAAGAGCGCACGTAATTGGAATTACGCCAACCAAGTGTACAATGGATGCAAGCATAGGCTCCCGAGCTGCCGTTGCAGGTCATTAATATATCTTCTTCTTTTTTTTTCTTTTTGAAACCAATGATCACGATTTCGCTTATCCCTGGCGCACTTAAAGTTTTCATTTTCGTTCACCGCAGGACTAATGGACAGCTTGGCGCAGCAGTTTAACGGGCAAAATAATACACTGACATTTATGACCGTTGCACCTAATGCTGAACCAAGGTAAACATTTAATCTTCGGTATTATGATAATGCAGAAAAATGTCTTGATTCGGTCACAAAAGTATCTAATCTCTTTGATATATAACTTACTTGATAAGACTTGGACCGATGAGCTATACTATGTTTATATATAAAACTATACATATCGTTTTGTTAATAAAGTTAAGTATATTTTTATGCGTAATGGAAATATGGCAGATGATACAAAATTAATAAACGTAACATGTTTGTTATCTTTGCATTAAACTTTTTCCATTTTATAGAGTTAATAAAAAAAACATGCGTAGGCACTTCTCGATATCAAATTATATAAGGTATTTTATACCAAGAGATGCTCAATTTCATTTTTTTTCTTTTTATTATATATATATATATATATATATTGATAAGAATAAGAAAATTCTCTGATCTATCGATTCGAATAATTTGCCATATTCAGATTTAAAGACTGATATGTACATATGAAATCTTTTTATTAGTTTAATGAAGCAAAGTGAGCAAGTCATTGCGAGAAAAGTGGTACAGGCTGTTCAAAGAAATCAATCGTGTCTAAGCATAAATTGGAGCTCAAAATTGTTGTACTTTTTAAGGTAAAACACTTTTAGTTTAATTATATTGTCGTATGTCATTTTATTAATTTTTTTTTTTTTTTTTTTTTTTTTTTTTTTTTTGGTTTACAAATTAAAAACAGTTTTGTAAATTATCTGTAAATTACATCTTGAAATAAGCAATGTTTTTTTATACAAAAATTCTAACAAAAGCACGAAGAAATTTATGTAAGTCCATTTTGTAATGGTTTTTACTTAATAATAATCAATTAATAACTTTTCTATTACTTAAAAAGCTTATCGCGAAGAACATGGGCGTATACATTTTCTGTTGCTTGGCTCCTTTAAGCGACTTCAATTTTAAATGGGATTTATAACAATAATTCCTTTCTCAAGACTGCCATCCATCAATTATCAATTTATTGTTTATTTTCCACTAAGTCGAAAGCGTCGTTGAATGTTTGTTATTAAAAATATAATCTCAAATTAATACAACTTAAGATCATATATCGATGAAATCTTATTTAGAGAGTGATTACAATATCAAATGAGTTTCAAACAGTATTTTGCTTGTTTCTTTTTGTTTTGTTTTTTTGTTTTGTTTTTTTTGTTTTGTTTTGTTTTTTTTTTTTTTTTTAAGCATATACAAAAAGCAGCTTGTAATGAATTTTCTTACCAATTTTTCTCTCTATATCATTAGTTGATTCATCGATATGGAATAAGCTTAGAATAATATGTTTTTTAAAATCGCAAATTTCCGAAATTTAGATTTCATTGTTGATTAATCTCTTAAAGCCCTCACGCGTATTGGTGAGATATTGATTGATAGAGTATTAAAGTAACGTTGTTACAGAGAAAGCAATTTAACGAAATTATTTATTAATAAAAGAAAATAAATAAATAAGTCAAAAGGATATTGCTTGATCGTTTGAATTAATTTTTCAGCTGCAGACTGTACAGCGGCATAACAACAATATCAAGGTGGTTCGATACGTAAAAAATGCATTATCTAATCGAGAAATTATTTATTAAAAATTTATCACATTTCTTGTATTTAAGAAAATCTCGTTATCGCTTTCACGAGCGTTTCGTTAAAAATTTATTTATTATATTTTCGTATTAAGTGCATCAAGTGGGTTGTGCATTTCTGACTTAAATCCTGTACTATATATTATTGAAGCGATCTTTTACTTTTAATAGTAGTTTTAAGAGACCATTATTCTAATCCCATAAAATTGTATAAAATAAGTTGTAAATAGAATATTAAAGTAAAATAACTGTATGCTTATTTCTTCTCGAAAATTAGTATACAGAAATAAAAAATACTTTTTATAATTATACTGTATTGGTTCGCACACTTCAATATCAATCTTTCAATATTTGAATTCGTATGAAATCATTTATCCTATTACTTCTAAACGTGTGCCGAATTTTTGATGCCTAGCACAATCGTTAAAAAAAAAAGCAGAAGAAGAAAAAAGAAAGAAAAAAAAAAGAAGAATCACAGGGTACATTGTATAAGCACGTTAGTTCATTTCATTCGTTTCAGCATTTCAAAAGACAAAATTACAACGACCAAGTAATAACGAAGCTTCGTCATCGTATTAACGTGAAATTTCAAATATCAGAATCCGAAGACAAATATTCTTCGCAATCAGCGACTAATCATATATACGGCAAACAAAAAAGCTCGCCTAATCAACGCTTTAACATTTATTACTTTCATTATAATTTTTCATCGACGATTTACCTAAGTTCGTTGCTAAATTAGCAATTGCAGACTAACAGGATTGTATTTAACGTCCCGAAAAAGCATTTACAAACTGTTCTTTTCTGTTTTTGCTCGATGCGATACACGCCATACGTTCACATTTTTCAAATCACAGTTTTCAAGTTGTCAAATCGCCTCGGGGACTCGCGCGAGGACATCGCACGAAGAGCAGCCGAGCGCGGGTGCCTGCGACCACTTGCGATCGAGGCAAAGGACAAGGCAACGGTCCTCGCGATCGTCGGCGAACGGAAAGCTCTTCAATTTTAACGCATCAGCCAGGAGCAGAGGATCATGGCAAATACGAAGACACGAAGGACGGACTGGCCGATCCGACTGGTTCCAGTACGTCGTAGTGCCCGTACTCGTTGTGTCCGCTGAAAAGGAGGTTGGCCGTCCTTGCACTTCCGCTGTACTGACTGTAGAGTATACGTCGAAGGGCATCGGAACCCTCCACCCGCCTGTAGATCGCGAGGTTCAGACGATTGAGCTTCGTGGCGACGACGCACTCGAGCTCGCTTGCGAAAGTGCCGTCCGCGCCCATGAAGCCGATGTAGTCGTCGAGACTCGACATGCTCCACTCGGCCACTACGAAAGGTTTTAGCTCCCGCCACGAGTTCTCGATGTGTCTTACTACCTGCAAGTGAGTTTCATCGGTCGGTTCCTTTCTCGCGCTTATGTATGAGTTGCAAGAGGTCGGCAAAAAATCTCGTTGTCGAAACATTGTAGGGCACTATTATTATCAATCGTTCTCCAACCGAGTGCGTCCTCACTTACGCACGGACAATGAATGACGTTCGAAAAACTTGGTTACTTATGAGCATTTACTGGTCACATTGTCACATTCTCATAAGCAAAGGCCGTTCGCATCTTTATCGAGATTAGCTTCTATTTTATTAAATATTGTTTATTGATTTATCGTTATTGTATTCTTAAAGACTTTGTGTACAGCTTGCGGTAAATTCCAGACGAATGATTATTCGACAGAATGATTTCGGAAATACATATTGTACAGAATTTTCTGTAATAATAATTTATGGAGCATTTGATAGGAAATAATAAGGTTAAAGTAAAATGAAGACTGGTAGACTTTATATTTTTCAAATATAGAAGCTTTTATAATAATTTAGCATCAATGATAAGCAAACCTTATTTGCTCTACGTATTAGGTAATAATTTTCGGTATAAGCATAAATCATTCTTTGTCATTTGCATAAAATATTTAAAGTTAATTTTTAACGTAATATACGCTGCGTAATAGAAAGCTTTCAATATAAAAATAAAAGTGACTAAGCAATGTAGAAAGATATTAATCGATTGTAGTGACTGTAAACTTAAATATCTTGTATGTTTGTGTCATAATAAAGTTTAAGGACAAATAATTTAAATCTAAGAGTGACAAAATCAATGGTGAAAAATGAAAATGATCTAATTTTAATTCAGTATTTAAGAATTGTAAAACTTTTTACTCGACAATTAATACGATTACTTTGCCTTGAAAATGTTAAAAAAATTTTCATTTAAAACAAATAAAGAAAAAAATATATATATATATTGTATTTTTAGAGTAGATTATTAATAAAAAAAAAAAACAAAACAATTATCTGTAAGAAATAATTAACAAACTTGATATATATATACATACATATATATATATATATATATATATATATACATTTATTTGTTTGAAAAGACATTTTTATAATATGAGACTGCGTGCTTAAATTTATACTTTATAATCTTATACTTTGTAAATTTATTATTGATATATTGTATTTAAAAGAATAAAATTTCTTTTTTAAATAATTTTTTTTCAAATTTTAAATCTGCGTTAATGTCATATTAATTTTTTCAAATAAATAATTCTCGTTCTATGCCACTTGCAAAAAAAAACATCTATATTTATCAGTTTTGATAATATAGGAATATAATGATAATTATTAAATATTACAAGATCATTGACCTACACACCTAAGATGAATTTTAAGTAAATTTCTTAATGAAAAATAAGTGTCTGTGTACGGTAGTTACGTCAAGTGTTCACTTTGAGCACAATTCCTTCAATTAATTATGTAAATTTAATGATAAACACATTTATCTCTCTCTCTCTCTCTCTCTCTCTCTCTCTATCTCTGTGTGTTTGTGTGTGTGTTGCTTTCAATTATTTAAACTACGATGGGTAGTTTAAAATGTTTAACTTCGCTTTAAAACTACTCGCACAAAGTAGTTTTTTACTCCAAACATCTTAAATAGAAATTAATGAAAGAATGAAAATTGTCTCACCAAAGAGCGAAGATATCTATGTCTATTTTCTGTTCCCCAAACAATAAAACTGATGGCGCGAAACATGCAATTTCCGTCTCCGTAGATTTCACGCAATTGAAATTCTCCTGACGTAGCTTTGAAGTTTCGTCCTGCTTAGTGATTAAAGTTATGTAAAATATTTAACAAAATTGATCCTGCTAAAGAGAAAAATGCATTAATAACATATAAATCAATATTGTTTTACAATAAATAACATATCCGATATTTTATTATCATTGTATGAAATTATTGGAGAGATGTAACAGAGACTGTACTATTTTACCCATTACTATTACTTATTAGAGATTTTAACGAAGATTGTTGAAAAATTGCCGAGTAACAGGCTGTCAAATCGGACTGCGTATCGGAAACTTTTAACTCCAATAATATCTAGACACATTTAACGGTTATAGATTTTTCGAACGAAGCGAGACGTCGGCAGTGCACCATTAAGCTTCCCAAGGAAAAATTCGTATGTGCAAAAGAACCAAGCCAGCGATTCGACCCGAGCAAATGTCGCGCAAGTTGTCATGGGCGCCACACTAATTAATGGCCAAGCTGGGAATAAAGGGAATATAAGGATTGTCGAGAGCACGGAATGAAAAATAAAGGAAAACCTTCTTTGGAGCTCCGCGATCGCTTCTTGCCCGTGTTGGCGTAGCGGCTACTCGACTTCCTGTATTGGACCTCTCGGTTCTTGGGTCGCTCGACTACGTCTCGGCGCGGCTCCGGATGCTCGGTCGGCTTGCCCTTGGCACGGACGCCGATCGGCCGGCACGACTCCCTGTTTACTTCTCTCACGGAGCATCCACGTTTCTGGCTAGCATCGTCACACCTCTGTTGCTGTTTCTTACCGACCGAAGTCTCTAAGTTTTTTTTTTTTTTTTTTATTTTTATATATATTTTCTTAGATTTCCTTTACCGCGCATCCGCCTTCTCGCACTTATTTCTCATTCACTATTGGGCCTTATTATTTTTAGCGACGGCAAGCTTTTGCTTATAAGATACTTGGTATGGTTTTCGCGCAAAATGCCAATATTACGTTAAATCGTCCGAAATTTACCCGAATCATCCGTCATTAATATCAAAGCACGATTGGCGTATTCGATACTCGCGTCATAAGACATATTAAAAAAAAAAAACGAAAAAAATAAAACATAAATAAAAGAAAAATTATTCTTCGACATTAAATGGTTGCTACTCCCGCCAATATATACTGCTTTACATTGCAAAAATTAATGAGCAATTAGAAGGTATACGTTCACCTCCCTTGCTGTCCATAATAAATGTCAACGAAATTATCTTTCTATCGATGCTATCTTTTTCCGTTTTTTTTTTGTTTTGCTTTACTTATTCATTGCAATATTGTTTAAAATATAATTGATGGATTTTGTTTTTTAAGATGAATAATATTTAGTAGCTTTGATTTAATTAAAGTATAATATAAAAAATTAAATGGATAATTTAAGGCTGACTAAAAATATGTCTTCGCTCGTGCCAATATTAACTAATTAATATTCGAGATAATTCTAAAATTCTTATTTAACCGAAAGTTATTGAAAATTGTAGATGTAAAAATACATTTTTACGTTTTTTCTCTCCAAAAACTTATTTTCATTGAGAGTATGAATTACGTGGGAAAACAATTTTATAAATCAAATTAAAACGTATGCTACATTATATAATTTTATGATTTTGATATTAAGACTAATGCAAAATCAAAATTCGATAAAATCAATTAATACAATGTAACATATGAGTAATTGATAATTTGATAATTGATACATATTTCCGTGGTCTACTACTTGGTCTTAAATAACATTTGCATCAAATTGTTAGAATTTACGTACCACTTTCTTATAAATATCTTATAATCGCTTGAATTCAAAGAATAGTGTATATAATTTGTGTATATAAATCGGAATTTATTATAATTATTATGTATTAAGCTTTGCGATCTAATTAACTCATTGACGTATTTATCGCTAAACTATTGTCTAACAATATCATATTAAAGGCTAAAAAAATATTATGTTAAAATACTTACTATTAAAATCCAAAGTATCGTCGTATAAGTCGAAGCACCAAAAACATGGCAAACAAAAAAATTTGAGTAAATACAATTTAAAATTTGTTGATAAAAATTTATTTCGATTCTTTAAATTTGCATTCAACTACTGATGAAAATTTGTGTACATTTCAATATCTAATAATTATAATTGATATCTTAGTTTTAGAAGCCAACATTTTACATGGTTTTATTATTCCTTAACCCTATTAATTTTAAATAAACAAATGAATCGATATTATTTTAATTCGTGTAATGCGTGCAATGTCACTTAATACTCTGTATTAGATAGTTTCGAAATCCTTTATTTTATTTATATATATATATATATATATATATATATATTTTTTTTTTTAAATTTGTTTATCATATAAAAAGCGAAAGTAAGATGAAATGAAACTTTCAATTATTTAATTAAAATTTGTTAAGTATTAGTTAATTTATAATTAAGTACTACTGTTAGCTATAATTATTCATACGTATTATGTTATATGTTTGCTTGATATTAGCCAACTATTTTTCAAAAATATTTCAAATTTTTGTTATTAGAATCTTATTCTTTTTGTAGATTATGATAAAAAAAAACTTTTAATGTAAGTAAAATATATTATGCAAAAAGATAATTAAAATCTAACCAATTACTTTAAAATCGTATATTCGATTATTTTAGAAACTAATATTATGATTTCTTCCTAAATTAGCTTTTATACTAAATTCATGGATTTTGAAAATAAGATAAAATTTATGGTTATGTAAAAAAGTTAAAGAAAATTATTTTTTTGCCGAGCTTATAGAATTTAGGAATAATCCGATATAACGAACATAAACTTTTAGTCGTTAATTTTTTTACCATTATATCTATAAATTAATTACAATTGATGCATTAGATGTTTATCCTGAATATTTATTTATATGCGCAAATAAGCGTTTTGTGCCGATAAATAAAATATTATGAAACATGAAGTTAATAATTAACAATTTGTTTATTTATTTACTTTCATTATTTTATAAATATATAGTACTAATTATGTAAAGTTATATTAATTTTGTATACAAAAAAAAAAAAATGTAAATAGCCCTCGCTTTTAACAGTAATATACTAAGATATTATATATACTTTAATAATGTAGATTTAAATAAAAGAAAGTATAATTAATAAAATTAATTGTAAATAGAAATATTTAGGCAATGAAAAATACTAGAATATTCATAAAATATTTATTTAATCATTTTTATTTTATTAAGTGAGAATATTATTCTCCGAGAGATAAGTCAAAAACAGATATCTAGTGATATTAGTAGAAATATAATTTTAATTTTAGCTTAGACTAGTTGATAATAATGATGAGAATATTATTTATATTATTAAAGTATAAAAAATCAATTACTCTGGAAGTATATAAAACGTACTGTTGTCCTAAAGTAATGTCAATTCATTCTTTGATGAAAAAATCAAACTTATTAATACTTTCTAATGAAAGTCCAAGTGAAATACATACAATGTACGGTCGAAGATTAAAAATTACTTTTGAACTTTCGAGCAAACTAAGGTCATTGCAACTTTTAATGACATAGATTAAATAAAGCAATACTTATTGTGTACAAATAATTGTGCATTCAATCATTCAAATAGAAAAATTTATAATAAATTGCATTTATACTGCATTTATAATAAAACAATGTTTATCATTTCGTGTATAACGGCAAGATTCGAATGGAAGATGAATCAAAAGTGTACGTTTTGAACAAATGGATTAACCATGGAGATAGAAGAACAGTGAACGTGAAAGAAGAAGCTAATTAGTTAAGTGTTTAGTAGAGGATCGACGACACTATGTTTCGAACATCAAATCGTAATATCTTGAGCAGAGGAGAGAAAAGGACGATCGGACAAGTATCCGAAAGTGATTAATACCAGTACGCACTAAATATTAAATATAGTTTAAAGAAATCAATAGAGCGAATTGAATTTCCATACCAGCCATTGTTTTCACGTCAATCGATTATTTACAATTAATAATACACGCGGAAAAGTGAATGCGCGTATACGTGCAGCTAATTAACTATTTAACCAATATATTTAATCGCTCGTAATCTCATAAATAACCCAACGATTATTTATAATCACTCGCATAGATTTTTCACTATCACCTTAGAGCAATATATTCTGTCTCGCATTAGTGCTCTGTGGAGCATTATCGCATAATACTTGATGGCAAGGGATTCGAATGTTAAAATTAATCGTAAGAGAGAGAGACGACCCGTCGGATAGATTGCCGAGTAGAAAGAAAAATTAGTAATTGGTGATTGATAATTGCTGGGCACAAGCAAAGACTTGACTTACCTTTTCAGTTGTTTATTTTTATTTACGTTTGTGTAGTATGAGAAATCAATAACGCACGTAGGCATTTGCCTTCAGATATTACTTTACCATTTATTTAATAGACAATGTTATAACAATTTTAATTACATTTTTAAAATTAGAAGATATAATTTATTTAAAAATAAATTAATCCCAGTAAATTTATAGGAATTTCTAAAATGTATTTATTCAGATAAGAACGATAATATTGCATTTATAAATAGTATTAAAATGCTAAATATTTATTGCGTTATGTATTTAATTATTTTTTCATTCCATTTCATTTAAAGCTGTTTTAACGATAATACAGTTATGTTCCCGCTACTTCGCTTGCTATCTTTCAACATTTCATTAAAACAACAAGTAAATATAATAATCGTAAATTTAGAATATATCTGGGTAATATTTGTCATAAAAAATTATTCGACCTACGTAATTTTCATTTTTTTTTCTTCTATATACGTTAATTATTTGCTTAAATTTGATGCACCCATTAAGTATTACAAGTTACAGATTGGCAAAAATTATTTATTATGTAGAGTGCAAAGGTAGTTTATATTATTGTTCAAAGAATTTGCCAGCGCGTTAAAGCCGAATGAATTAGAAAAATTCTGTTGTCGCATTATAGCTTATTGCTTATGTTTTGACCTCTTACATCCGAATTTCGCTACATAGAAATATTCGCGTGTGTGGACGAATCGCGTTCCCCTCACGGTACGTTGAACAAAAGCTCGGACAAAGGGCAAACCATACCATCTTGTTTTCATACGTCGAGCTAAACGATACAGCTAAACTCAATTGAAACGTTGCGTACATAACTCTGCTGGTCCAATGTGTCGTGTCAATAAGGAAAATTTTCAAACATAAGTTGTGAAAATTCTTCAACGTGAATTAACCGCGCTAATAAATTTATTCTAAAAACATCGATTTGCGATAATAATGCACAAGCGTTACAAATTACAGCTGTGAGATAAATATTAATTTATTTTTTATAGCAATCATTGCGTGAATTTTTATGTTAGACAATGGGGAGAAACGTTAGATTTACCGTCGATAGACGCGTGCGATTAAAAAATGTCAAAAGCCATACATATTTTATTATAAATACATTTTGCGTATGCATATTTGTTAATAAAATTCGTAGTTTACAGGCGACACAGCACCGAGCAGGCTTACTTTTAAAATGCCATTTATGATTTTCGAAACAAAGAAAGTGATTTGAAAAATTAATATAATAACCATAATATCATCTAATCGTCATTTAATATTATCCATGCATCCAAATTAATTAGTGTACGTGTATTATCAATTAAAAGTGCGTGCATTGATGTATAAAAGCACGTTGTTCCACTGTACATTCGCTCTGAAATCAAAAGTTACATACAAATTAGCGTATCATTCGCATTGAAGAAATAATGCAAATTTTCAAAAACACGCTTTTCAAAAAGTCCATTTCTGTGAAAGGAATCAGCATAATGATTCGATATATGTAGTAAAATTGATGAAGTCACACCTACATTAACGGAAATAATAATTACATTAAATCGATATTACTTACTTAATTCAGTGAAATAACTATTAGTTTATGAATGTTATTCATAGGCTGTGTAACAAGTCCTTCTTTCTTGGCGTGGGAGAGCAGCGAGTGATATTTTTGAAATATCGTGTGTATAGTTAACGGCACGTTTTTAATAAGACTTTTTTTGTATCGCTTTTGACGTAAAGAATCATAGGATTTTAATGGAAACGGAATGTTTTTCAAAAATACGAACGCGTCATGTTGTATTCACAAGGATATCCTGTGTTAAGAGGAAAACGAATAATAAAAATTATCATTTCCAGTCACAACTCTAGCCTCGATAAAAACCTATCGAAATAAGTATAAATGCTTTATAAGAAATGGAAAAAGTTATCCCCAAGCATTTACGGTTTGAGAAATTAAGAATAAAATCTATATTTAAATTTGCTTTCATTAATGTCATTGCTATATATATATATATATATATATATATATATATATATGTTATATTTGGTAGTGAATTTAATTATTTTATTTATTTTCTCTGTTTCTCTATCTCTCTCTATCTCTCTCTCTCTCTCTCTCTCTCTCTCTCTCTCTCTCTCTCTCCCTCTCTCTCTCTCTCTTTAGCATCACAAATATTTATAACCGTAGATAAATTTATTACTATTGGATTCTTACAATAATAAAAAAATTCGTCAAAGAAAAAAGAATTAGAATTTTAGCCTCGGACAACGAATCGTGCACCACTTTCATCGTTCTTTCTTTCTCTTTCTCATCTTACGGCATACAAGTACAATCTACAAGTATATTAATCGATGAGATAAATATTTGTACACAAAAATAAACATAATGATAATGCATCGATAAAGGGGTAATAATAATAAGCATGCAAGCAAATTGGGTGATTCAGGCCTATTATTATTCGTAAATCTTAATTATTTATTCGTTAACGAAATCAGTATTTCTATATTTGTTAACAGCCAGGAAAAAGTCTAGTAAATGATCGAGTCCTCGGTTTTTATCTGGGCTTTGTTGATTTAAGTTTTCCTTGCGCTTACTATTATGTAGATAAATGTGCATGCAGTTTAATGTTCCTTTCGTTGTTTTATCAAAGTGATTATTTACTATCTAACGTAACATAAAATGTTTGCGGCAGATAATTTATACTATAACTTGATTATTAGACTGTTGTATCCGGACAATCGAGTAAAAATCCATAATAAACATTACATTGGTATTGGCGCACAGTCCTTACGTGTTCATCGAGCTTGATGAATCCGCCGGATTCACGATAAATTAAGCTGAGGCTATTTAAAAGTATTTGTTGTTATATCATTCGCTCCGCCCTCATAATTTGCGCCCAATATAATGAGAAAAATTAGCCTCTGCCAAGTATCTCCTCGAAACTCTCTTCGAAAGGAAAAAAAAGAAAAAAAAAATGCATACGTACGCACGAAGTAATACGCGTGCAAGTTGAGAAGGACCTTGAAAAACTCGCAGTGAAATGTTTTCACACGTACGCGTGCTTCGGCAAAATCATTCGATAATTCTGTTTTTATTCCGGAAAGGCCAAAAATCTCGGCACATTATTTTCATCGTTTAGAAAAACTATTTCCCCCGGTATTTTTAATACTATACGAAATATAATTTACCCTAGCCTCGAAATTAAAAATCCATGGTTTTTAAATTTTTTTTTTTTCTTCTTTTTTTTTAAATGTCCGCATACTGTCCTGCCAGTCGGGACAAACCATTCTCGTTTCGAATGAAACTTTTTGTCGAAACGTTTCTGCTGGGAGCTGCGTATCTCTTCAAACTGGGTTAAGAGTTTACGCTCCGTATATTAACGTATTTTATTAAAGCTGCGTCTTGGAGTCGTTTCAACACTACGGAGACTTCACGATTAAGATATTACTTTATATTGTGATAAAATTTCTGCTTGATACAAACAATCGCAACATCGGCCTCGGCGTTTATGGCGTTATATGGCGTTTATTACGTACCATCTAGGCGTATTAGTGCAGTGAAGGAGGGCTTTGCCAGCTAATAGAGCATTTCCGATAATCCTAGGGTAATGCAAATTTACGTTGTTATTTTAAATGAAAGCTGGAGTGGCCTCGGCACTGTGATTCTCAGGAGGTTCCGGCTAATTTTCTCGAAAGGAGAATTCCTACAACTTGGACCTGGTCTGGTCGCAGGGGGCTCGAGGGACCGGCCGACGACTCGAGGTTTTCCGCTCGAGGGCGCGCATCCTGGCTCGTCACCTCCCCCATTCGAAGATAATCGAGCAAGGCCCAATGTAAGTTCAACGAAGCCTTGGGGCCCTACGACGTTACGGAAAGGTCGATTTTCGGAATTGTCGGCGCTCGCTCCCGCCGTCCGATAAATCGCTGCGACACGGTTGCCAGCACTGAGGCGTGGGAGGTGGCAACCAGTCAGCTGGGCTTCATTGCACCTTGGCCACGGGAGGGCGGAAGGGGCGAGGAACTATGAGGGGCGGGAAGTACGGAGTGAGTGGACGGCGGAGGGGTTAGGGGGAGCGGCGGGCGCTAGCCTGTAACGGCAGGAAAACAAGACGGCAGCAGCAGCAGGTTGCAACGGCTCCAATGCACTTGCCTTCCGTGCCTTCCTTCTCTCCCTTTGCCGACTCCAGTCCCCCTCCACCTTACCAACACCGCCGTCACTACGATCGCTCGCGCTTTCCTTCGCTCTATGTCTCTTTCTCTCTCTCTTATTCTTTCTTACTCCTTCTCCCTCTTTCGTCACTCCGCTTGTCCCTCTGTTCTGTCCCTCTCCCCCGCCACCCCCCTTGCCGCTACCGCAGACCGAGCGACTATAGCCAACGCAGCTCTCGGCCGCGTCTTGGCTCGAGAGCTCCGAGTTCGGCGCCCGCGCGAACCTCGTTAGAAGAAGTCGGCGGCTCCCCAGTTGCCGTGGTAGTTGCTCGGGAGGAGGAGCCGATCCGAGAAGGTGGCGACCACGTATATATCCGAGGGTAACGATAAAGGCGACGACGACGACGACCACAACGACGACGACCACAACGACGACGACCACAACGACGACGACGACGACGACGACGACGACGACGACGACGACAACGACAACGACGACGCGACAACGACAACGACGACGACGACGACGGCTACGGCGGCGGCGACGGTGACGGCGACGAGGACAACAACAACAACGGTGGCGTTAGCAGCAACGACGAAGACGTCCATCAACACCACCACCACCACCATCACGACGTCGTGGAGAAAGAGGAGGAGGCGGAGGAAGAGGCGAGGAACAGCAGCGGCGGCGGCGGCGGCGACGGTTAGCAGGCGCCGAGCGATAGGCCCGTGGATAAAATGGCGACGACGCGGTGCGATCGGCGGCGTCGAGCCGTGCGACGCTCGACCGCGTCCTGAGTGCCAGTGGGAAGAGCAACGAATCGCGAGGGCCAGTGCTACGGGGACCTGGGGCCCCCGCGGGCCGATGTCATGGGCTTCTGCAGCAAGAGGCACTTCCTTCTGACGATATGCACCCTGCAGCTCGTGAGTGACCGTTCGGCTTTTCTCGTCTCTTGCTCAGCCGTTTCCTGGAACGCCGCGAGGGTCGAGGAGCTTTTTGTTCGCATGTTTCTTTGTTTGTTTATTTGCTCGTTTTATCGTCGAGTCATTTAGCGCCGATGACCCTTTGTGTGCTGCTCTTGAAATTCTGAGGCTGGAAATTTGGAAGTGTGCGGGCTCGTGGAGAGGAAGTTGCTCATTCTCGTATGCCCGTACGAGCCTTTCAAATAAAACTTCGCCTTGTTGTGCAAGATATATTCATATTTCGAAATACCCAGCAAAATGCTGCAAATAGAGAAATTGCTGCCCAATGTTAATGCTTTTCGATTCAGGATTCTAGTTCTTTATAAGGCTTAGCCGTGTAATGCGACTTGAGATTCTGATTCACGGTGAATCATACAATTTTGCCAAACTATAATTGAAGCAAGGCGGTTTTTCTCAATTACTTGCACCTATAAGTCTGTGTATATTAAGGTAACTTTACCCGTTTGCAATATTTTTGCCATTGAGCGATACGACGATGAAAATATCCTACCTTAAGCCAGGGAAATAAGCAACAAAATGTTATCAATTGCAAAAGTCTTTCATTGGCACGATATCATTTCTTAGCACTTTAATCTACATGATATTCTTTTTAGTTGCATTTTCTTTAATACATCTTATGCGAATTAAAAATGAATTAGTGTAGTGTAGTCTAGGCTATTAAATTGCACGGATTTATTGGTGTCGAATTCATGCTGATTTAAACAGTAAATAAACTTGATAATATAATATACATGTACACATATATATATATATATATATATATATATATGTATAAAATTTATATTCGTACATATATTAAATTTCAAAATTCATACTTAATACAAGGCGTATTCTTGTTGTGCAAAATGTTTAATATCATTATGACTCGTCTCTTACATCTTTTGTACTTTCCTTTTTCTGCTTCAACCTGTATTTATTACATAATTCAACATTAAAATTTCAATTCTTAATGATTTTAAGAAATTTTTACATACCGCACGATTCTAGTCATAATGTATCTTTTCTTTATCCATAATTCACCAAGCAATTTGTTATAAAGTCATGGATAATTATTGTTTTATTTGCGTTATCTAATAATATTTAGCATAACGCGTAAAATTTTTTAAAATAAATATACCGGTTAGAGTGTTGTAGAGAAATTCAAGATAATTTAATTCTTAAAAGTAGGTGACGCTTTCATCACTACAGAACTTAAAAATACTTCAAAATCACTTGTGTGTAATTTATGTGTATTTATGAACATGGAAGATCTTAATTCATCTCTTTTTAATGAAATGTATTTTTCTATTTAAGCTAATAATAAAACAATTTATATTTTTTAATTATCAACAATGTCGTAGGAATTTTTTCATATATTATTGATGACACACTAGTTGATTCTCATTACACTACTTTTTAATTTTCATGACAATTGAAAGAATCGAGCAAATTATAGAACAATTGTCACGAATTAAGACTATTTAATGAACTGAACCGTTAAAACCTGAAATTTCTATCTTACAAGACATACATATGCCCAAACTTAAAAATATTCCCTCACATTTTCTCTCAATTATTTATATATTATATAAAATTCTTCAAAATTAATCTTCACAATTAATTAATGCTTTTAAATTCAATCTAATATTACAGATAACAACAATAGAGCGTCAAGTATTTGATTTCCTTGGCTTTATGTGGGTGCCAATACTGGTCAACTTTTTTAATACAATCTTTGTTATTCTTGGATTTTTTGGAGCATTTCAGTATCGTCCTAAATACATCATATCAGTAAGTATACAATATTGTTATTAGCAAAACAAAATTCCAAGTAATGTGACCTTCGCTTAATTATACCTATCCAAACAGTTTAAGGGGTTTATTTTTTCCCTTACTTTAAAGTTAGATGTATCGACTGTATTAAGCGGAATTATTATAATGAGACTATGTCATTGTGTATGTTAAAAAAAAAAAAGAAGAAAAAAAAGGAAAGAAAAAAAGATAAAGAAACGATATGCATGTTGTGAAATAAATTTAATAAGCTCCTTATTCCAAAAACTTATAGAAACATTCTTGATTTTTGTTTATTCAATTGAATTCTAAAGATCTTCCCTTTCAAATTACAAAACATTAAACGTACAATAAATTTTTATTCATGGAAAATTTGGAAACAAAAAAATGATGAACTAACAATAGAAATTTTTATAACTCAATTCATAATTATATAACTTATATTCAAATAGCTTTTATTTTGATATTTTGAACTTTCTTTTATGCATAAAAATAATATTTTAACAATTTCGTATGATGTAATAAATGGTATTATCTTTTAACGATTTATAATAATAATGTATTTGTCCGATTAAATTATTTGAGCCAAGATTGTTTTTAACATAAGATGTTTAAAAAAAAAACAAAAAAAAACAAAGAGGATATTTCTTTTATAATTATTATATATACGTATGTTTATGTATTTTAACGTTTTCGTGTAAATTTTTGTAAAAAAAGAATTAAAATATTTAAATGAAAGATCTGCAACTACGAATAAACTTAACATACAATAAGCATATTTATACGTGGCTGTACGCGATAGAGGGGGAAGTGCACATGTGCGTATCAATATGTACTAGGCAAAAATATTTCAAGAACCAATTTATTCTAATGAAATAATTTTCATATAACAGATTGTAAGAATGGGAAGTACTTTTGATTAATTTACGAAATTTTTCTCTTTAAAAAATCTTATAACGAGCATAATTTCCATAAGCCGTAGATTGCTATTTGAAAGATCAATAATATTTTATACTTGTTTCTTCTTCTAATGTTATTGAATTAGCTAATCGTCGAATGGATGTGCACTTATTATTGCATTATAATTAAACATGAATTTATTGAAATAAAACAAACGTGTATATATATATATATATATATATATATATATATATTTACACATATATAATATATTTCTTTTCAAAATCTTTTACACACGTTGTAAACAAAATTTTTTTAAATCGCTTTAAAATCCAATTCATTTGCTCAGTCTGATAAAATATGGCCTGCTTAACAACTCACAAGTTTATCGCTTAGATTTTGTCAATGCTAGTTTCCCGACATGGAATTTTATATCTAAAATTAATAGCTTACCCTTGCGGCTCATAAGATTGTTATTGAACAAAATTACGACCGAAATAAAATACTTATTACGATGTAAAATACATATTGTTTTGCCATAATAATTATAACTTATGTACTATAGATTAATGTATGTAAATAAAAAAATGTTTACTATGCATTATTTCAATATTTAAGCGGACGTAGATTTTTTTTTTTTTTTTTTTTTTTTTTTTTTAAAACACGCGAACTAGTTCGTCAATGTTTCAGTAATAAATGCACAATATATAAGAATACAGCACGTTGTAATATCGAAATAATTATAGATTAGGTCAGATATTTTAACGATCAGAGGGTTTATAAGTATAAAAGAAGTGTTATATAAAGAGTGCGAAAACGCGCTCAAACGCTCATGAGGCAACAAGTTTCATTCAAACTCCTGTTGCAGTACGTTGACCTGTTTTGAGAGCATTCTTAGAGAGTTAGTCACATTTCACTTAAGGAAACGGACACGAGTCTCTCGCGGACTTGTCGCATTAGATGCAATGAACAACCCGTCGCTCGCCCTCATTGTTAATGAACCCAATCAACTTTTAGCTTCTCATGCTTTTTTATTAACATCTCCTTTTTCCCCCCCCCCTTTTTTTTTGTCTTTTTTTCTGTCCCTTTCTCTCTCTCTCTCTCTCTCTCTCTCTATCTATCTATCTATCTATATCCATCTATATCTATCTATTTATCTATATCTATCTATCTATCTATATCTATCTATCTATCTATATATATATATATATATATATATATATATCTTTCTCTCTCTCTCTTTAGTACTGCGTGTGGAACGTGCTGTGGCTGGGCTGGAACATATTTTTGACGTGCTTCTATCTCAGCGCCGGTGTCTTGGATAAGGTAAGTTACAACATTGGGAAACTCTCATTTTATTAATAATACTTGAGCCATCGTCGGTGATTCGATTCAACCATGTTTCAATTACTGCCCGGACGTCGTACTTATTACTCTATGTTAATTGGCCGTTGCTTCGCTCCTTCATCATCATCATCATCGAATCTTAGAATCGAATTCTATGAAATTGACCGCGAAAATGTCTTTGCCGCTCATTGAATTATATAAGTGGCTCGTCTTTAATCGTCTTGTTTGGATCAAAAGCAAAGCTTTAATATTAAGATTTATTTTGTCTGTAACCCTAGTTGATGGGAGCATTTCCATCTATCAATTTTTATCATTCCTTAGCGCGACAAAATTGTAAATTATTTGTTTAGATATTCTTCGCGAATCAATTATTATCCTCGATTATCGCCATTCGTTATCTTCAATATTCCATACATATATTGTTTTCTTAATTTTCTTAGAACAGCGACCTATTAAATTTAGGCACTGGTAGCTTTTCTTGGTGGCAAATAAATGGACCAGGATGTAAACCACATCGCAACAATACCGTGCCAGATCCACCAGATGTTTATCGGCCCGATCGAGTTACCGGCTGCGTCTTAGATTATGAAATTATCGAAGCTTTGCATTCGTCGACCCAATGTCTGCTGGCGGTAAATTTTCCCTCTTATCACCAATAATATTTCTTAATTATTATATTTTAACCATTTTCACATTGTACTTACTTTTTAAAACAACAACGACAGCAACAAAAACAACAACAACGAAAAAAACGAACAAATGATTTAAAGATGAAACCTAATAGATGAATATATTTTTATATATAATTGTATAAGGTGATTAAGTAATGTTTCAAAGCCTGTTTCATACTTTTTATTTTAATATTTTGAATGCATTATGAAATCATCGATACCGAATTCATCTACTAAATTGGCAAATAAACTAATGCTGCTTTCGTTGCTTTAGCAGAGTAAAGACAATTAATAATAATTATTGCTCTAGGTCATGTCGGTCATCGGTGGAATTTGTCTGAGCAGAGTATTCTTAGAAGAGGACGACAGCTGTAAGTAAAAAGATTATATTTCATTAAATATGCACATTAATTTCACTTAATAACTATTGAGGCACATAAAATTCACATATATGTGCTAGAGAATCACATACATTAATTAATAAACGTATTGAAGCTTATAAAACAAGTATTGATATAAACATCTACAATGATACATTGATTAAGCTTAACTTACTCCCAATAATCAGTAATCGCTAAAACTAACATTTACTTTAACTATGGTAATGTGATTTGAAAAACGGGTTATCGATTGCAGTTGATTTCATTGGTGGATTTGACCCTCCATTTTGGTAAGTTCTCTGTAATAAAGAGAATCTGCATGGTAAATTCACATACGAATGAATTAATGTTGTGTGCATTGATATAGTAAAATACGTATACATAGATTTAAATTTATAAAAAAATGTCTAATTAAAGATTATAAATTGCTGCTTTCTGTATTTATATTTGAGTTCAATTTAATTATTCATTACAATAGAGGAATGTTTATTTTTCTGTAATTTACTCTTCTTTGCTAGAAATTTTAAAGTTAAATATAATATTCTTAGTTAATGAGTTTGAATTTAGCTGCCATTTATCATTCATGTTTATCGCATAAGGTATATTAATATTATAATTATTTGTGACAATAAAATAAATAAAATTCATTACTATTATAATTGTCTCATGTTAATTGGCTGAACGTGTAAAGTAATAATGTAATTATGACATTGTAACGCTTACTAAAAAATTAATATTCTATAAAATATGAATTTTTATTACATGAATTATAATATATGTATCGATCAGTTTAAGTTTAAAAACAAAAATAAATAAAAAAAACAGAAAAAAATATGTATTGGACAATTAGACTGTTAGTAAATTCATGGAAAACTTTAAGGAATCAATACTATGCATGCAAACAATTTATTGCCAATACTTGTAGATCGCTTTCGCTTCTTTCTAGTCAATATTTATATAGATTTACATAGGTGCTTTTATGTCAATAAAGTTATCAGTTATTTTAAGTTTAAGTGATCATATTTTGAAGTATAATAGTTGATTTTATTAATATTACATAGAAATTTTAAGTGTTATAAGTGAGCTTTCCTTTAGCTTAATATAAAAGAATCATTGGGTTAATTTTTAAATTATATTATTTATCGGGTGCATAGAAAATTTCCGTTTGTCTTCAATAAGCACTCGGAGGTGTCTTATACTTTTTCAAATGTCAAAATAAAACAAATAATTCAGGAAAGATTTATATTTTGCAATATTAAAGGCCACGTTTGTTTAAGTAAAATTTTCACTTTTATATTTTAAGCAAAAGACTATTATTTTTCAATAGGAAAATTACATTCTAGTCTTTTGATTAGCTTTTACGTCCTATAATTTCACAAGCATATAAATAGTCAAAATTACATGTATCAGTGCTCATATCGACAAAGTTTTTATTTAAATAGGCAACAAAATTAATAAATCGACTGAGAAATTTTGAATCCTTCAATTTAATATAAATACATAATTAAATAAAGATTTTAATTTTTTAAAGAATATTCATGATATTAAATATTGTTAAGAATTAATAAATTAAAAAAAAAATTTTAACAATCTATTATTATAACGGTCAAAAAATTAATAATATGAAAAACAAAAGAAACTTTTTTTTTTGTTTTTTTTTTTTTTTTGAGATGCAATGAATTATTATAGACTAATCCTCTGTTCTTGAGCTAATCTTATGAGACGGATAATAATATAATAATGGAAACCGTTAGACATTATCGTGTTATTAAAGTTGTCACATACATGTTAATTTTGCACTATCGTTATTGCCAAGTATAAAAAGGAAATCCAAGGATTTGTAAAATTTTTGTCAAATCGTGTAGGATCTAGAAATTAAGTGTAACTAATAAATTCCCGTGTAATTGTCTTGAACTATAAATGCACACTGTAAATTTGGCGCTACTCGCCAATCGCAATAGAACGAACATAATAATATTGATGAAGATCTCTGCAAAATATGACCGACTTTTATTATAAAAAACTGATGCGCCCTCCTCCATCCATCATGCAACAAATACAGAATAACTGAGAAAAGTTAAGCGCAGACTAGCCGAAATGAAAAAGAATGACAATTATATGGCATACGTGTGCGTGTAGCTGTGCGTGTGGCTGTGTACGCGTGTGTATGAATCCTCGAGCTTTTCCATGAACGAAACAATGAAAAGAGAAAAGCCTTTCCGCAAAGGAAGAGAAGGAAAAAAGAACAATTATTAATACATGCATATATAACGGTGTGGAGTTGTCGAGATTGAGACACTAAAAGCAGGCATAAACCTTTTGCAGTTGACTTTGTCGGAGGTGGTGACTTTGGCATGGCGGGCCACACGTCGCTGCATCCAATGTACGTTAGCTACTCGGCACTGCCGCCGCCCGCCTACATGCATAACAAACATTCCGCCACCGGCGAAAGCTACTACTATCCTACCAACACGGGCACGACCTCGGGATCGCCCCGCTCTTCTTCCACCACGCTAATAACGCCTGCGCCGAGCGATATTTACGGCCCGTCTAAGAAAGTGCCGCACGCCGGCCAGGCGATCCTAATGCCCTGTCGCGTTAAAGCCATCCCGAGACACGCGGACGATTGCCGCCGGGCCCACGGGCCCACCACGGTCAATCACCTGCGACGCCACAGACCGACGCTCGACTACGCGGACTACTCGGATTACTCGAACCCGATCGATCAGCTGCCGGCCGCGGCAGCGGCGGAGCAGCGTCACCTTGACTACGACTCCCTCGAGGCGCACAGCCCCAACCTGAGCGTTAACAGGCAGAGGTACTACCAGAGGAACCTTAACAGGCCGCCGGTCAGCTACAGTCCCCTCATGAGAGCGAGGCTGCCGAGCAACCGACCGCCGAGCGCCGCCAATACCGGCAGCGGCAGTAGGAACAGGAACTCGTATAGGCCCCGGGTCTACGCTGACCATATTAGGGAGCGACAGCAGCCCCAGAGGCTCCGCACTTTCCATTCGGATCCGCGCTTGTCCGTCGAGGAGGAGAGTCTCAACGCGGTCCCGCGCGACGACCCCAGAGACAGGGCAACTCGCCCTCGGGACGCCAGGCCCCTATCAATGTTCGTCAGCAATTACTGACGCAATAACTCGGGCCTCTTTGTGCCCTTAACCTCGACATGAGCGCTATTTCAATCTTGGCCTACGTGTGAGAATTATTAATTCTTTTAGTTTGATAATCTGTCCGTCGGAGAAGATTGATCGAGGCCAGACCTCGAAAATGTCCGGATTATTCATTTTCGGTTCATTACCCTCGACTCACGATTCACGATTCACGATTCACGATTCACGATTCACGATTCACGATTCAAAGCTATTTTTTCGCGAGCCACGTTGACTAGTTACGGCTTCCTATCACGAGATTTTTAGCGGGTTTTTGTTTTCTTTTTTTTCTGGTACTTTAGTTATCCACTCGCCTTATTAAATAAAACACCTCGTTTTCGTTTATCTCGGTTTAGCTTTATGTCGCAGATGCCCGTCGGGTTATTAGGGATGATATATCGCTGTTGGTACGATAATCAGGTTCGTTGGATGATCGAGCAGAGTATTGTAGGATATTAATGTTATGTAGCCGACGCACGATGTTTGGTAGTTGGTAGAGATGGCAAGCTCTGTCAATGTGTGGTAGCTTGTTCGAGAAGACAACGAATGCAACGAAACACGCGAATGTCATCGATATGTAGCACCGAGAAAAAAAAAATACAGCATCTCGATATATGCTTACAATCGAGTAAGCGCAATTTAGAAACTGAAATCACTTAATAATTGATTCGTTTCCAAGTTAAAAATGATTTTTTTTTTCAACTTCATTACTGTAGCGCTTGAAAGTAGAAAAATTAGCCTCGTTAATTACTTTCAATTTGGCTGTGAAATCTGTAAAATTACACATATAAGTTTACTTTCGTAATTACTAGATTTCACTTTCGTTTCGAATCTAACAAAGTTTTCATACTTTGAGACTTATTATTATTTTAATTCGGCTATTTTCTAGAGTATCTAAAAGTAAAAATTTTTTGAAAGTTCTATTTCGCAATGATTTTTCTTTTAATGCTTTCCGAGAAGGCTTAATAGTAGTCTTGATTTTATAATAACTATATATATAAATATATATAATAATAATAATAATAATAATAATAATAATAATAATAATAAATATAATTTAAATACGCTTTGTATGAAATTCGTAGTTATTATGTTTAAAATGAAAATAAATTTAAACTGCTAGTTTATCATGAGTCGCATATTGTAAGAAATAGCTCGTAGATTATGAATTTTCTTGTTTAAAATCCCTTTTATCAAGATTTATTACAGTCAATTTAGCTATAAATGGCATATTGGTGATAATTTTCGGTATTAATTCAATTTATTAAGCTGTAGTGCAGCACATTGGACTTGGAAAAAATGCATCAACCTTTTAAGATTTTGCTCAAACTTTCAAATAAGATTAATGATCTTACTGCTCAATGAGTAGAAATGTCAAAGAAGTGTAACAGTATAATTTTTAATAATTGTTGTAATTTCAAATTAAAAAAACATACTTTGACTATTCATTAATATCCTTAGTATTACCGTTATAATTATTATTATTGCTTAAGCAAATTTTTACGTGTTTATATATTACAATCACAGAAGTTACATATATGCATAAAATATAATTTAAATGTTTAAATATTCCAGATAGATTCTTAAATAAGTTTTATTTTCGTTACTTAATTTTCAACAAAATTATTATATAATATTGAAGTTTTATCACTATAAATTATAAAAGAAATCCCCCCCCCCCCTCTATCAGCGCACTTTTTTTATTGCTATAAAGATTAATCGGTCGAGGAAAGTGAGTAAATTTCGATTTTTTTTTTTTTTTTTTTTTTTTTTTTTTTTTTTTTTTTTTTTTTTTTTTTATAATCGTAACCGGACTGAAGAAAGACACTTAAATGTTCGATAGAAAATAATAATTTGCTATAGCGTACAATTCTTATAAACCAAGTTACATATTCTTGAACTTGTCAAATAACTACTGTACGCCTATTATTCATGAATGAAGAATCAAATTTTCAAAATATACATGTCATTTAATAATAATGCAACGACAAATATTATTGATATTTATTAATATTGTACATGCGATTACCATTTTTATTATTTACATTGTACTAGTACATTGTAACTTATGCATTATCTTAAAAACAACTATATTCTTTTGGAAATTAATAAAAGTTTGGAACCTTTTAAAATATCCAAGAATATCGCTTATGTTTGCAAAGAAAAAGTCTTGGTTTATAAAAATTTACGTTATAATAAAATATGCTTTTCTTTTGACAAATAAACAATTTAAAAAATAAAAATAAAATAACAAAAACAATAACGTAAATATGTAATCCATGTGAGCAAATCTGCAACGATAATCTGTAATAAAGAAATGTTTTAAGCGTTTTTACTAAGGGCACAGATAAATGTCCGTTATAAAAATTAGCTTAGAAGAAGGATAAAGGCACTGATAGACTGTGATACGTAGGTGAACTACGAGAAACGCCGCGATGAATGTGTTTTGTTTTCGCTGAATAAACAAAATTTTCATTCGACGTCGATAATCTACAATAAAAAAAGAGAGAATAATAAACAGGCGACTTACCGTAGTGTAGTATTGATGATTGGAATAATGTATTTTGTAAAATAATGCAATATAATCGTTGAATATATGTTTGCGCTATTGCAAATATACTATTTTTTGTACGAAATGTTCACAATACAATGTCCAGCAAAGGCTTAATATAATTCTTGATAGAACAAACATATTTGCTGCCTGTCAAGTCGGTGTGTTTATACGCGTAGATTGATTCGTAGAATTCATTTATGACTGCAACGAAACGAGTTTTTCAACTAATTTAGTAGTTAAGAGTTAATTTACGTTGAGTATGATTTAGATAAAAACTGAATAATGCATAATTAAAATGAAAATAATAAATAATTGTTATTTTATAATGGACGAGGAGCTTGGACTCTAAAGTTAAAAAACAGTTCTTATATTCTTATGGAAAAAGTTGGCTCGTGTGAGAAACAAAAATTAATTGAATTTTTCTCGAATATATGTATCCTTTAATAAAATAACAATTATGGAGTAACAGTAACGTAGTACTAGTAGTAATTTTAATAATGTTAAGTAATGTTTAAATCGTCATCTTAATATTTTATACAGAAAGTTTGAGAGGATTAATTTCCGTGCAGTCGTTTAGCTGCCTTTATAAAACGCTTTCTTAGACTGTTGTGTTGATTACATTTGCGCAAATGTTGTAAAGAAATTGCATTTTTTTCGTGGAACTGCTTGATTTAATCGTTGTATCTTCAAGGTGCTATGGATTATCGTTAAGATTTTCAGGATTTAATTATATATAGACTTAATTATTGTTCCACGCAAAAAAAGAAAAGAAATGAAAAAAAAAAAAAAAAAGAAATATATAAGTTTCTTACCAGTCATAAGATCAAATTTATATTTTTTAAGACTCATCGCATTTCGTAATAGATTACAAAAATCAATGTTCGTAATTCCTTTTTATACTCATCTTTAACTTTTTGTATAATTTTATTTATTTCTTAGTCTCCTATGTGTTCTTCGGTTCATAATTATATTAATTCATGGTTTCACAATTTTTTTTTTTTGTTACTTAGAGAAAATATACATATGATTTAAAGTCGATTCTGTTTATTTGCAATATTCTGTAATACACATAATATATAAACTATAAATATTTGCTTTATGGTGGAAATAAAATTGCAATATACAAAACACACGTTGCTTGCTTTTTATTTATTAACCCTTCACTTTATTTTCTTCCTATTTTTAACACTGGTTTTATGGTAAACACTAATCAATCTTTGGTTTATTCTATGGGTAAAATTTTAAAAAAGAATTGTAGTTTAAACGGATTTTTAATGATGTTAGAAAGAGAGAGGGAGAGAGAGAGTCGTTTTAATCATTATGATGACGTAGTTTAAATGTAAAATCTTTTTTTTTTTTTTTTTTCCATCATCATCTCTTCTTCGAACATTAATTTTAATATAAGCACAAGGACAATCTTATTAGCAATTAGATTGTTAATTATTTGAAAGCATATTATTTTTAATGATCTTGTTAAATTTAAGTTTAGAGATCAACATGCTTTAACGAATTAAAATAAGGTATTCTGAAATTGCTTTAAATATTGATTTCAATAATCATTCGTAAGATATATTCTACTCGATCTCTTAACGTATAGTTGAAAATGTAAATTCAGATTTTCAAAAATTTTATTTTACAGAAAATTCACGATAACAATTTAAAATTTAAATTCCATATTTAAGTGAACACAAATAATTATGTGTCTATCGTTTATATTTTTATTTATATTATTATACTATACTATATACTATTAAATAAGAGGCTCTAAATGTTTTACGTGGATGATCAATAATTTAAATTTTGGTAGCGTTAGATGTGAAACTTTAGTTTTAAAAGTTATTTACTATTTGTACATATTTATATTGTCTATGTAATACGAAAATGCTTTTTAAGTACTTTAAACATTGTATTAAGATAACGTGTAAAAGATTTTTGCAAAAAATTGATAATTCGCTTTCATGGTGTAGAAGGAAAAAAAGTAAAAAAAATGGCACATTTAAACTAAATTTAAATTTAGTTTCAAGGGCAAACCTCTCTTGGTCATATTACAATTTTTAATTACAATTCTGAATAAAACAGCATCGTATAATAACTATAGATATTCAATATATAAATTATTATGGACAGTGATAGATTTCTGAATACTGTAATGTACAGATTATTATAATACAGTACTATTCTAGAGCAATTAAACGAAATATTCTAATAATTATGTTAGATGAGACTTTACGAATTATATATGAAGTTATATTTTAGTTAATATTTGCCTCAATTAAGTTATGCTTAATAAGTATACTTGCAATGTAACATCATCTCGTTCGTAATAATCGAATATTGTAGCTTTAAATTAAAATCTTATTGAAGCAATGTAATGAAAATACTGTTAGTTTCGTTATCTCGCTAATGGACGTTTATCAAAATGCCATGAATTTTCTTATCAAAAGTCCATCGCGACAGTTGCTACAGACTGTTTAAACTGTCTCTGATTAGGGGTTCTGCTTTGGGTTGTTACTAAATAAAATTGTACGCTCAATCAAGGGCGTCACGATTAATTCTGAATGAGATGTAAAGACACGTCGTGGGCAATGAAAAAATTGCGCCCGAGAAATAATGAAAGGAAAGATTTTCGAAAATATCCACACATTTTGCACACATTTTGCACTTGGCAGGTTCTTGCACGATTCGCTTCTATGTCCGCCAAATTGATTCTTTGATTTTGTCGTCCCGCGCAGCACAAATTAGGAAGAAGAAAAAGAAGCAGCCGCGACCGCTGTACAGTATCGAGTACTCACAGCCAGAACCGCCGGTTGTCCAGGACGACAGCGTATCCCCGAAGCCGATGACGCCACGGAGGGTGAAGCGACGCTCTGTGATATCGCGGGACGGGACGCGACGCTCGAGTCGGCGAAGTTCCGTGAGGCAATCCAGACGCAAAAACCCAGTGAACCGGATCATCGAGCACCAGGAGAGCCTCTACGCGAACACGCCCCCGTCTCTCGGTAGCCTCACCAATCAAACCATTAGCTCGCTCTCGCACGGCAACCTTAACTATGACAGGATATCCGGCCACTGGGAGCGCGAGAGGACTATCGGTAAATCTCTCTATCTATCTATCTATCTATCTATCTCGCTCTATCTGCTGTCACAAGAAAGTCCGAGGTCAGTTGTACTACTTGATATTCAAAAGATCATACGAAGATAAAAAAAAATACCTCGTGTTCCATTAAGCAACCGTTTTTCAATTTAAAATATATTCTCCAAGAGTATATAAAAAATATTTAGTCAAGCTGGATTGAGCTAAAATCATTTTAAAACCAAACATTTACAGTTTACAGAGTTTACAATTTGCGGACAAAAAAGTATGATAATTATTATATTACAATTTGCAACGATTAATAAATCTTTCTTAGACAACTTAATATGTCGTAATGACTTTGAAATATCTTTTATAATAAATATTTAGAGATTGTAAGCATTGATTATTTTGTCCTAAAATTTATCGTAATTTATAAAACTTACAATAATAAAAGAAACATTGTTTTAGCAATTACAATAGTCATTCACTTTCAATATAAATTTATTTAATTGTTCAAATACAATTGTTGCTATGGAAATTTATGTTTAACAATATTATTAAAAATTACAATGTTAAAAAATTCGTTGGAAACATTAGGCACTAATGGTAATAACCCAATGTCATTAGATTTTTATTTAAATTCATCGTAATTCACAATATAAATAATTAAAAATTTTCTTTTATTAGAACCAATATGCAATGAAACACAAATTTTCTATTTTTATTAAACTATAAAGTCATATTATTTATTAGATTCAAAATAGCACTTTAATTAATCAAGTAAAGAGCGGTATTTGAAGAACGGCATTTTCCATCAACATTTTTCCCGACTTCAATCATTTTAATATAATTTACATAATATATCCAAAAACGTGATTAAAACAAAAATAATTCATATGATACTGAACTCAATCAACTAGACGCTCGATTATTCTATTTCGATTATAATAAACTCCTTTCATTATTATTTAACACATACGTCAAAAATAAATATCATCACGATTGGGACAATACCCCCCAAGCCCCGCCCTTATACCTGCAAATCTTTCTATCACGCATCTCTGCAATTACGTTTCAACTCCCCCCGTTTCAGGCACTCCGACTTGGCAATCCGACGCAATGAATATGGCTGCCTCGTCGCCGAATATCTGGAGTCCTGACAACACCACCACCTACACGGCGATGGCGTCGAGTCTCGCAGCTTCTAACTGGGAGAGCGCGAGCTCGACCCGAAACCTCACGGACAACTGGCAGGGCGCGGCTATCGGTGTAGAGGTCCCGAGCCAGAGGCAATGGCAGGGTCAGAGTAACCCGACCTTCCAACAGACGAGCATCCAGAGTCTTAACGGAGAGGATCTGGATGAGCTCTACGGGAACAGGCCCGCGAGTGCGAGATCCAGCTACAGCAATTACCACGGGGTGCGGGCAACCCCACAAGTGCCCAATAGGACGGACATCGTCAGGCAGAGCCAGAGGCAGTTCGTCCTCAGCGGACCACCGGCATATCAGGACACTGTGATTTAAAGATGGAAGACCGTTGTCATCGGTACCTTCTGCATTCGTATTTCCGCTCACTGCTTGCCAACCTCGAGCGATCACCACTGCGAAATAGCAATTCATTATGCTATTTTAACGAGGCTTTGAATTTTTATAGTGGAAAATCTAGCGCCCCATGCCAAATCCACCACTTATTTTACGTTAGTCGTAAGGATCCAACAGTTGTATATAATTGTGTTTATCCATGTTGGTGTAAGTTTTCGTTTAATTTACTCGTAAGCGACTTTTCGTTTAATATTGGCAATATGTACCTCAAAACTAAATCTCAAAGCCTCGGAAAAATGATACATTGACCAATGATTCCAATACATTCAATATAGTATGTATTAATCTGCGGTGAAAGTCTATGTTAGAATCAAAAAGTGTATAAATGAGAAAAAATCGTTTAAGGCATTAATTGCAAATCGATCGTGCATGTGAATGACAAAAATATTCGCACATAATTATGAATCTGCATTTATCGACTGTATTTTTATCGATATATATATATATATATATATATATATATATACACGCGCGCGCGCGCGCGCACGCACACACACACACAAACACATTGTATTTTGATAAACAAATTTTATGATATTAATATCATACATTGAATATTAATTAAATTTCAAAATTATTTTTCATGATTTTTTATCGATTCTTCTAACTTTTATGGAACTCTTATGGAAAATTGGACATAAATATTTAAATGATAGAATGAATTACAAAATTTTAAATTTCAAGTATTATACTCGAATTAATAGTCGTAGATCAATAAACTGTTTAAAATCTATTTTTCACTGTTACTCGCGCAAATCTTCATCGATCGTCTTTTTATGAATGTCAAATTACAAATGCTTTAAATACGTAATTTTCGAAATAATTTTATAGACAAATAGTAATTTCAGAGTAAATAGTGATAGAATTTGTTTCTCCTGTACGAGCTTTGTATTTTATTATACTTTTGATATTCAAAATTAGTATCACAATATTTGTAAACATTAAAAATTATACAATTTACGAAGTCGAGAGTGATAAGTATCAATTAGGTAATTAAAAAAAAAAAAAAAAAGTAATTTTCAAATTTAGAAAATAACTGCAAGTTTAACTATTACTAATAGTTTTAACCTTTAATACCTATAACTATAAGTTTTTTTAATTATGATTTTAACTAGATAGAAATGGTCAGATTTTAAGGTAAATATTAACTATCATATGAAATTTTGTTATATAGTAAGAAAATAGGCATGTCGAATGAATTTTAAATATTTCTTATTATAGAAATATGTTTTTTTTTTTAATTTTTGTTTATTGAAAAGTGGATCATTATTAAATTAAACTAATGCTGATCTCAGGAATGCTCGATAAAATTTCCTTTCATCAGAGTTGCAATTTTTTTGCGTTCACGATATAAGCTCCACTTTTCATCACAGGCTAATTTTATAAATCATAAACTTAAACTCTAAAAGCCAACCTTACGTATCCTAATTATATTATATTGTAATCAAAAATATAGTTTAGTAAAGCTTATTGCTGTAAATATTTTTATATCGTCTGTAATAGAGTTCTGTATTTGTAATAAAAATACAAGAATTGTTATCATTCGAAGGATATATTCGTATTTTGAATATTGACATTCAACTAATGTGCACTACTTTTCCATTTGTGATAATATTAAAACTACGTAAAAAACATTCCATTTATTTTCCATTTATTATGGAAAAGTCGTACAAATTAATACTATTTTTTCTTTGGTACTGACAAATTGAAAAAGAAAAAAAATGACCACGAGTATTCTATAAAAAAATGTGTAGTCTTTTTACTCTTATACAAATATAAAATTTTTATATACTATTGTCTGAAACACATTGCCTTACTCAAATTTTTACGTATTTTTATTTTCAGAAAGATCTTTAAATCTTGCTACCTCTGTTTCTTATACGTATATATATATATATATATATATATATATATATATTAAATTTCATTTTTATGGAATAAATTGCATATATTTTTAATTAGATGACTAAAAGTTTTTAAATTTTACTTTTATCCACAAGTAATCAAATTATGTGCAATGCTCAGGACTTTCAAGAATGTGGCATACATATAGACGTCAAAATATGCGAACCAAAGTGTTAAGAATATCGGTAATGCTTAAGTTTATAATGTAACTAATTAATAGAAACGGGTATATGAAATATTTTAACGAACAAAATATTATATAAATATTATATAAAAGATTATGGATACCGATAAATATAGATATATTTACTAATGCATACATTAAAAAATAGAGTTCTATATCTTGTTAACAGAAAAAGTAATAAGTTACATGTTTATAAAAGAAAATTTTACTTGACACGTAATTATTATTATTATCAATCCAAAACAAATGTTTTTAATAAATTATTTATTATGAAAAAAGATCACAAGGTTTATGTGAAAATAAAAAACCAATGTATCTAATGATTTTTATGAATTCTGTCTAAACAATTAAAAATAAAATTATTACAATTTTTATATACATTTGGTGAATAAATATATCATAAAATATGGGATCAATTTATATTAATTTTATAAAATACTTTTTTACCCGTTTCTAATTAGATCTAATAAGTAATCTGCCTTTAAAATATTCAATACGCAATTGTACAACTTAGATTTTAAGAGAGTAAATATATAATTTGAATTATCGATTGATAAATGCTTAAGATAAAACATTGTACTTAATTTTTTAAATATTAATTTACAACGAATTTTAATTATTGCGCATTAAACGACATTATTTTATCGATAATGTTTTATTAATTAGTTTACATGTTAGTCAGTAGCTTATATTGTTAAAGAACCAACGATATTTTTTCTCACATATCCTATAGAATTGGAAATTAACCTTATCTTACTATTATTTTATTATGCGTTATTCAATACTTTAAATGCCATTTTTAAATATAAACTTGGCTTTTTACGTTGGAAGGTAAGAACAATAAGATATTTACAAATATATCTTATAATAAAGGTATTACGGATAATATTCGATTGTTTTACGTTAGGACTTGAAATTATATTGCAGTTACTCATAAAATTTTTTGTAAATGTAATCCTTTTGCAATAATCAGAGGACAATAATAAAAATATACTAATGAACACTCGAAAACCACTCGAATTATTTCCCTTCTATTTTACTAACGTATTTCTTATAAATGATCTTTTGATTTTACAAAGAGTATATCAATATATTATACATATATGCATGCATAGGAAATATTAAGATATACATTTTTCTTAATGGATCTTATGTAGAAATTTAATGTAATTAAACTTTTAGCGAGAAATATTAATAAATAATGACGACAATATGTCATGGTAATATACTATGACAGTCAATCAATGATTTATTGTTTAAATGGAAATATTCATTGTATTCTGTTGCCCGTGTGTGCGTGTGCGTGTGGATTAACTTGATCGTAAATATATTTATAGCATTATATAATATTGTATTAATATAAATAATTCATCAGAAAATTGTTTACATCGTTAAATCTAAATGAAAGAAATCATCATTAAATATAGTAAATAATACTATTTTACTAAATTTTTTTTTTTTTTTTTTTTTTTAATAACTGTTAAAATTTTAACATATAATTAAAATTTATATATCATATAATTAATATTTTATATAAAATAAAATACTTAATCTAATTTATATCTAATGTAATTTTAAATTAATACAAAATTCCAATACAATATTCGTATGATAAAAAGAACTAACATAATCAGTAAAATATATTATGAATTATGTATGTTTTTTTTATGAAAATCTTACAATCTTACAATTTTACAAAATTAAAATATAAATATATGACAATGATTTCATTCTTTATATATTCTCTATTTAATATTTTTGCGTAATTTCTACAATAGAAACCTAGCAGAATAAAAAAAAATTAAGTAATTGGATAAATTCTCATATACACTTGAATGCAGAATTTTCATTTACATAATCAACTCCTTATGTCATTGTATTAATATACAATGATCGATTTCTAGCAGAATCTCCAAGTCAATTCCTTCCCCCCCCCCCTTATTTTATGCTCAGCGAACATTGACTTTAATAATAAAGAAAGAAATTAAGGATAAATAAAATAATTAGTTAAAAAGTCGAATGAAGTAGAGGCAAAACCATTATTTTAAGAGAATTTAAAACAGAGTGAGTACAAATAAATTTTTTTTGCAAATATACTGGATTGAATAGTCAATATTTTTCTTTAAATATTTCGATTAAAGGCAAATTCAGAATGTGGAATATTTATGAAAAGTTTGTACGATTTTTCCATTTTTTTGCAAAGATAGTTTCGTGTTAATTGATTATTGACTGATTGTGTTAGCCTCGACTTTGTTTTTTCTTTAATTATATTTTTTGTTTTTGTTTTTAGTAAAGATATAATTTTAAATAAAATATATTAATCATAAAAATCATAAAAATCATAAAAATATTTCTTCTAGGAACATATGTCAAATAGATACTTAACATATATTTTTTAGAAACTATTAACGGTTTTTTCTCTGTTTCTTCCGATAGTTCTGCATAAAGTACATATTTATTATTTGGTAGTGTAATGTATATTGTAATAATTTTTCTTGTGAATCATATACTTTGTATTGCTCTATCTTTTAGTTGCCTTTACACATTGCACATATTTTAATTCACATGCTTATCTTTCAATGTTTTGACAATATGCATAAGCTATTTCATGGTTTTATATTTATTTCTTACTTTCTTCGACGCCCTTCATTAAATTTAGTACAAATTATTTTTAAACGTTTCGAAATATTTCTCATATTGATTTTGACATATTACTTGACGTACACGTTATTTCTATAACGATGTATCTTACTTTTTTTTCTATTTTTTACTTATAATAATTTGTCGGGTTTCATATATATATATATATATATATATAAACATACACACCTCCAACTTATATTTCATTATATTGAACTTATATTTATTATTTACAATTCTTATATCTTCTAATTTGTTAATCCTGTTCAATGTAGTATTTATGTCATTATATAAAACTTTTCTTAACATTGTACTTATTATTTTCAGTTCTTTTATTCGAGCTTTATAATTTTTTTGCCTATCTATTGTTTTTAGTTTTTATTAAGTTCAATTTTTTATTATTTTATGTATATTTTCTATTTTAGTATTTTATTTGTTTAATTACAGCATACTTTATTGTATATGATTAATCATCAGTGGCTACGTAAGAAAAGAAACTATCAGTTATGACCTGATTGTAAAGAAAGATAAGAACTTAGAAATTTATATTCGTTTTTCTCTAAACAAAATTTGGAACGTTTATATTTTTCAAGATTTTAATAATATCCTGGAAATGAAATATTTTGAATAAAATTATGGTTTTAAATGACCATATTTTACTGATTATACTTTATATACAGTGTTTTCACTTTACATATTAT